CCAAGAGTTGGGGGAGCTTTAGCCCACTTCCCTGGAGGAAAAAAAAAAACACACCCGAAGTTTTACTTTTTGTTTCCCCTTTTCCCCCTTTCCCAAGTCATATCCGGGTTTTGTTTGCGAAACTAGAAAGGAAGACCCCCCCAGGCAGGAAATAACAACTGCCCTGCGCTTCTCCGAGCGTTTCCAAAAGACGCGGCGCGGCACTTTCCCCCACTGACAGCCACATTCACTGTGGGAACTGTGGGCGCCGAAGAAAAGTCCCGGAGGGAAAACGGGGCTGGGCTGCGGTCGCAGAACACTCTCCACATCCGCACATGCCCAGCCGTCCAGCGCGTTAGATGCCCGGGAAGGGTTTTACGCATTTGGGGATGAAAGGGGGATCAGGGTATGAATGTTATTTACAACTTGCAGACATTATATAACCCTCTGCGCCCTCAGTAGCGGAGTTTTGTTTTCTTTCTTCAGGGGAGGGTTTTGTAAGGACTGGAAGGTGAGCAGATGGTACCAGGAGAGGAGAGAGCAGGGATCTGAACGGTTTCCCCCCAGAAGATTTCCTCACCTCCCCCTGCCCGCACTCGGGGGACAGTTGACACCAGGAGTCTGAATTCCTGACGCCTGCAGTCTTGGTTTCTCCACTTTCTGGAAAGCAGTACTCCTCGAGCTGCCACTTTGTAACGCCAGGAAAAGTGTCTGGTGTGAAAAATGTTTCTGTGCAATAAAAACTTTCCCCTGGACTAGAAACTCAACCCTTGTTAGTGATGCTTTAAGGGAATCGAAGAAAAGTGAAGCATGAATGTGAGAAATCTTCCCAAGCAGTCAGATATTTCTCTTTCTCTCCGGGGATTACCTCCTGCTCATACAGTCAAATTCAAGCTAAGAGTGGAGGCAGGAACTGAATATTTCAGGGTACTTGGTGGTAGACGCCCATCACCACTCCCCAGTCTGTAAGTAGAGGTGGGGTTTGTCAAACAAGCACAGTGATCTACTTGCTGAGTAGTCCTGGGTTCTAGTCTTAGCTCCCACAGGGGCGGTCACTGGAAAAGTTACTTATTTTTTCCTGGATTTTGTTTTTCTAATTTGTAAAATATGTGATGGGCCTGGGGGAGAGGGGGTGGCAGTGAATTAGCTAAGGTATGTTTCCTTTCTAATTGTATGTATGTATCTACATCTGATAAATCTCTTTCAGAAAGAACAAATCTTAGGTTCTTTTTCTGTATTAGAAATACCACACATTCCAGGATCTCCCAGACTCAAAGAAGTTAGATCAGCTGATGGAGTTTCCCCTGTGAGCAAGCTGTGAGCCAAGACAAAAACTCACATGTCTCCAGAACGCATGCATTTTTTTTTTTTTTTTGATTCCCCATTGTTTAAATTTAAAAGGTTGGTTAAAAATAGCTTGAGTAAATTAGTGAAAGTAGTTAATGTGGCCTAAATTAAATAAGTGTAGCATCCAAATGAAATAAGTTGGTTAAGTAAATTAATGGGAGTATGTCTGTTCCAAATCATAAAAAGAGAGTTATTTTGGTCTGGAAATTTCTTCCTGGTGAAATCATCTAGTTGCCTGCAGTGAAAAAGAATTATAAACCCATAATGGTTTTTTAACTTCTTCTACAGTGTTATGAGACTTAAATTAGAGATGAAATACATATTAGTCTATTTTTTTAAAGGTTTTATTGTTATCAAATAATTCACATGCTAATATGTTTAAGTAAATGGGTTGAACTAAAATAGATTGGGAAATGCTGAAATCCTGTGATCACACAGCATCTGAAAAATGTTTTGTTATTTGGTTTTAAATGGTAAGATGATAGAAAAGCTTAAATACACACACACACACACACACACATGCACAAGTATGTAGCCCCTATTCTTAAGCATGGAATTTACCTCCCAGAGAGCAACCACGGTAAGCAATTTCTCGTGTATTCTCACAGAAATATTCTATCGGCAAAATTCTTTTGATAATTTTTTTAAAAAGACGTATCAATTGTATCCATATGTACTTTTAGCAATTGACATATCTTTGATAGATTACCCCTAATAAAAGTGTGCAAAATAATATGTGTGAAAATGACAGGTGTGATCAGAAATAAACTGTTATTATCCCACCATCTTTTGACAAATGTTTTAAAGAATTGCCAGTTATATAACAGTCACAGGGATGTGAAGTGCAGCATAGGGAATAGAGTCAATAAAACTGTAATAATTATGTGTGGTGTCAGATGGGTACTAGACTTACTGAGGTGACCACTTCGTGAGTTATATAAATGTCTAATCACTATGTTGTATGCCTGAAACTAATATAATATTGTATGTCAGCTGTAATTTAAAAATTAAAAAAATCATTGGGTACACAAAAACTTTTTTAAAGAAGAAATCTGCTTAATAAAAATAATATTAACCATGTGGTTATTTTCACTTTTAAAATATAAAAGGGCAAAAACCATGAAATATTTACCTTGGAATACAAAAAAAGCAAAAACAATTCTTTGGCTATTTTTCTGATGTAAGTATGTTGTTTAAAATCCATATAAAGAAAACTATAAGAAAAACTTGAGGGCAGTTATATTAGAGTTGGTTTTATACTAACTTGAACTAAAAAAACCAACAACACAGGGTTATTTTGTGATTTTTGCAAGACATAGATTCTATGTTTTATGTAAATAAATTATGCTCCCAAATTATGCTCCTCCCAAATTACGCTCCTCTAAAATTTATTAAGTAAATGGTAACTGTTTAGCCCATTAAAATGATGGCTTCTTTAAGGAAAGCATTTATCATACACTTCATGCACTCTTGGTTCATCTGACATTTGGATCAATGTATTACAACTATCACACGGACACTTTCAGGACTGACCCATTCCACGTAACTGGGTGCATGAGACTCCTTTTTGAGGTGGATACAATGGGAAGTCACAGGACGACAGGTGTCTCATGCTCCGGTTACCTCAACAGCTAATACTTCATGATATCAAAATGATTTCTTTTATCAATTATGTTCATACAAGACTTTCATTTTCATTGCATGTAATCGGTCATTCTCATTGCTCAGTTTATTGTTGCCCTCATGTTAATATATTCTTAAGTTTGCTATTGGCCTTATTTTAAAATGCTGCTAATATCAATCAATCCAAATGAAAATAACAGTGAAGTTTTTTTCTTACTGAACCTTAGACTCACCTACGTGTACAAAACACCCTGAAAGTGCGTGTATCTCAGAGGATAGTGTATGTACACTTTACCCAGTCTCACTAGTGATGTCAGGAAGTTTTGTTGAACAGCCAAATGCTAAGGCTGTGCCTGGAGTATTTTTTGTTTCCCTTTAGTTCTACCTCATTCCATTGAATCTAGTAACCCATGTCCCTGAAACAACATTTGGGGAAAAAAAGAATCACTCACTGCCTCTTGTACAGCTGTGTGCGCTGTGGGACGGTCATGATTTCATTTCCTTCTTCCTGGACCATCTTTCTCTACACTTCCTTCCTATGATTTTTATCTTATTGAAAATTCTGCTGATAAATCTGTATATTGAAGCAACAGAAATTTTACCTTATTGTTGATTTAATGAATAAGCCAATAAGAATTTTGAATTATCCACTTTTTAATGGAATCAAACACTTAATTGATTTAAACACTTATTAAGTCAATTAAATTGTAGAGACAATTTATTAGTTGGTACAGCAGATGAACGGAACTTCCGGCTTAGGAAATTTACAATATACTATTGGAAGTAAGACAACCATACACATTATAATAAGAGAAAGCAAAGTAATGTTAAATGACTTTAAGGGATATACAATCCTCTTGGGATGGAGTGAGGGACAGAGGAGATCATTTTTTATTAAGCCTCCAAATACAGGATTTCAAAGGTTGCAATGAGATGGAGTGGAGGAACATTTCAGGTAGAAAGAGTAGTATGATTCAGTTCTAGAAGGTGGGAAGATGAAGAGTCATGCTAGGGGTTATTTAATATTTAAGCTTGTTGACAACAGGAAGTGTACAGGGTTTGTAATAAAAGAGGACATTTATTAGGTCTTCTCCTATATGCTTATCTCTGATCTCGTGATTCTGAATATCCATATAACAGTTTGTCCTACTCCCCCATTTTATATGTGAAAAAACAACAACTGAGGCTCAAAGAGCTGAGGTGACTTGTCCAAAGCCCTTAACTAGAAAGTGGATGAGCCAGGGTTTTAATTTAGAATTGTCTGGCTCCAGAATGAAAGCTAGAGGTGTTCGTTAGGAGTATATATGTTACTAAATTCCATAGCTAAGACTTTTTCTTTTTTTAATCAGAAAAAAAGATATGGAACACTAAATTGTACATGGAAAACCCCTAGACACAGGCCACAATTAAACAAACAAATGAATAAAATCTATAGTAAGCTAGATGGTGACGGGTGCTATGGAGGAAAATAGAGTGGGAAAGGGAGAGAGGAAGTCCTGGGGGGGGGGGGAGG